ACACACACACACACACACACACATTTGATTTAACCAGGTAGATCCCCCTTAAATTTAGATTTTTATGGGAGACTTTAAGGTGTCCCTTAAAAAATTTTAAGGTCTAAATTTTTTTTGCCTATACATATTTATTCCACTCAATTAATATGTGATTTAGTTATTTTCTATTATAAGTTTTATATCGTGCAGGGGTAGACATAAACATTGTTTAGGTTGACCGAGACAACCTATTTTCATTTTGGACAACCAGATCCTGTCTCCTGGTTGTCCGGTGGCCAACCAAGAAAAAAATACATTGATTAAAGTTCTCTGCGAATGTCCATCATTTGTAAAAATGAAAGGGAGAAAATTCTTGGTAAAGCCGAACAGAACACTAAACTGTAACTTTTAATAAGGTCATGTACGCAGTATACGCCTATTTAAGCGAAAATGTTTGACCTATGAGCAAAAAAAAGTTTAGGAATGTTGGGTAACCTCTAGAGTTTATTATCAATATTTTTGCTACTTTACTCCCTGAGCCTTAAATACTCAATTTCAAAGAAGAGAATGAGGAAGTTTTACTCATGCAGACCCTGTCAACCTGGCTGACTGAGAACAATTATACATAAAAAAAACCTTTGTCTACAGAACAATATACTTGTTAAATTATATTTTTCTTGAGATTCTTTTGGACAACCAAAATGTTTTGCGGACAACCAGGTTTTGTCAACAGGTTGACAACCTGAAAAATATCCTTATGTCTACCCCTGCCGTAACATAGATTGCTATTGTTTGCAGCACAGACCATATATAGCAGGGGTAGACATAACCATTGTTTAGGTTGTCCGAGACAACCCATTTTCGTTTTGGACAACCAGATCCTGTCTCCTGGTTGTCTGGTGAACAACCAAGCAAAAATACCTTGATTAAAGTTCTCTGCCGCGGGTGTTGGTCATTGTAAAAATGAACAGAAGATAAAACTTGGTAAATCCAAACGGAACTCTAAACAGGGCTCTAGACTAACTTTTTGCACTGGTTGTACCGGTGCACCTAACATTTTTTCTTAGGCGCACCAGCACAAAATTTAGGTGCACCCAAATTTTCAACCACGTCACAGACTGCAACGAACAATCAGGACAGCTGAGAGAGCCGTTGGTGCTCCCCTGCCCACGCTTCAGGACCTGGACACCACAAGAACCAGGAAACGGGCAGAGAAAATCCTGTCAGACTCCACACACCCAGGACATAGCCTCTTTCAACTTCTCCCCGACAGAGAAGTTGAAAGAGGCTATGAGAAGTTGAGCATGGGGCAACAGAGCCCCATGCTCAAAAACATCCAGACACAAAAACAGCTTCTTGCCCCAGGCCATCTCCCTGATGAACAATCCCAAACACTAGACTTCTTAACTAGTGCCTAATGTATACTGTATATTATTGTGTGTAATCCACAGACTATAATGTTTACATTTTGCTTCCATCATATATGTGTACTGGAGAGACAACATCTGCTGGAAACAAATTCCTTGTGTGTGTCATCAAACTTGGCCAATAAAGCTGATTCTGATTTAACATCAGAGTTTTACAGGTTATTTTTGTTCATTAAGGCAACATTACCTCAAAAATAATTTAACAATCTAGTAAACATAACGCTCTTTATTTGAACCAGAATTGTAGACATTTAACMTACTGAAAAGTATTTTAAGTGATTCTATAAAATTCTAAGTGCAAATGTTTAAGGGCTGAACATATTATAAACATCTTAAACATTTCATTGTTGCATTTTTTTTAGACACCTGCCCCTCAGATGGACAGCTCCTGTAGTTTGACCCTCTGGATCTTTGGCCTTGGATAAACCAGAATGATGAACAGAGAATACTGATTAATAATGGAAATATTACTGATATTTATCAAAAGGTTGTGCAGATTTAAAAAAAATAATAACACATAAAAGTCTGCAATTTAATTAGCATTAGTTGAATCTTATTATAATATTTCACTTAAATATGTCTAGTTTTATCCTCCTGAGACCCAGAAGAACCTATTTCAGATACTTGGAATGAAACTGTGGTGAAACTGATTAAGTGTAACAGCGGACTGCCATACATGTGAGCTTCCTTCCTCATGCTGCTGAAATGATCTGCAGCGCTCAGACCCCGACTGTTAAATTAACAAGATGGACTTAAGAGTGTTGATGGAGACATTTACGAGGTGTAATTGAATGCACCATGAAGTTAAAACTCTCATCTGTAGATGGAACCGTAATAAGCTTTAAACACGCATTTTTTTTTTCCCAGGAGCTCTGAATCAGAAATGTGTGACCGCAGTTACACGTTAAAATTAAAAAATGGTAAATGGACTGTACTTATATAACGCCTTTCTATCCACCCAGGACACTCAAAATGCTTCACATGACATTCACCCACTGATGATGGCAAGCTACATGCTAAGCAAGCTACCCCTAACCCCTAGCCACATGATCAACAACGTTGATCAATAACCTGCTGCTAAACTCATCACATTGAACAGAAAGAATAAAAACACACAAACCTGATGTCTGCAGCTCATCGTTCAGACTGTAAACAGAATCGATGTTGATTTCATGTTCCTCATCTTTAGCTCTGATAAAATCCTCCGACTTCTCTTCTTCCTCTGTTTTTACCTGCTGTCTCCACATCTCGTCAACATTTACCGAGCTGTTACAGCTCAATACAGCTCTGAATCAAACTAATCTGACCAGCAGGCCACGTGAAACACAGTTAGCTCGTAGCTACAAAGTTAGCGGCAATGGTACTAGAAGACTTCCGGTAACGGCAACCGGTTGACCTTCAAAATAAGAGCTCGGAGTAACCTTCTTCTCAGCACTGTCCTAGAGGTTACCATGCAAACTGCAGGTGATGTTCAGACTTTGTCTTCATTTATCAGTATATTAAAATGTTTTATTGAACTTTCTAATCTATTGAACAATAATATGCATTATATGCCACTAAAAGGACTGACAGGGTCTGTCCTCTGGTAAAATACAGCAGTAGTGTTTTAATCGTCATGTTTGACACTCCTCATCTTTAACAAATATTAAACACAAAACATTAGATTTTTTTTTCCTTAAAAAGATATTCTTTATTAAAACTCCATGCTTGTCCATGACTTCCTGGACAAATTTTGTGCATAAAAACAGAAGTAGACGTCAACCGGAGCAGTCTGAATAACACACGTCACATCTCTTGGGTTTTTGTGTCTTCTTTTCACTGGCTGGGAGCGGCGAGCACAGCGTCCAGGGCGCTCTGAGCCTCTTTGATCTGCTGCTGCAGTCTCTGCTTCATGGCTTCATTCTGGGCCGTTTTCAGCATGTCCCTCATGTCTCTGATGACGGCTCGGTAGCCCGGCGCGTTGTGAAACACCCGGATCGCCCTGTCGCCGCTGCACACCAAAAAGCYGCTGTTGACGTCAAACCTGAGGTCGGTGATGTCTTCGCCGTGGACGCCGATTAGCTCCTCCTCCAGCGTCCCGCTGGCTGCGTCGTACAGCGCCACGTTGGGGCCGTCGCTGATGGCCACGACGCGGCCGTCGGGYGATAAAGCCACCCGGCTGCCTTCAGAGGACGAGCAGGGGACGGTCTTCAGCAGGTACGGATCCTGCTGCTTTTTGTACTCCACATTGGTGTTCCACAGCTTCCACGTCCCATCTTTAGACACCGTCACCATCCTGATCAGTGGAACGAAACAAAACAAACCAGGTCTTCTTAAAGTTTTGATTTTTAAAAATGTATTTGTGTGAAAAAAAAATCATAACTTCTGGTTTAGCGAAAGCTTTATACGATGGAGAGGTCTTTAACTTTAGACCAACGTAACCAGTGAACATTTTGTGTAACATTTATTAAAACTACAAACATAAGCACAAACAGTAAGAAAATTTGTGTTTTGTAGATGATTTGTTGTAATAATGCTTCTTGGAACTCGATTGAAAGCATTTGGGGGTACCAGAAACTCAAAACAAGAGTCAACAGCAACAGCAGAATAAGCTATTTGGCAATTTTTTACATGTGRGCAACCCACATACTCCCACAAATGCATGTTCTTTACAAATGTGGCACCATTTAAACAACAAATTAACAGGCTTTCCAACAAAATGAGATTTATTGCCAAGAAGAATTGTTACAACAACAAAAAAATCTCTTAAACACCTAGCTACAAAGTCTAGTGGTGTAAATTTTCTTATTTTAATCTGAATTCGAGAAAATACAAAGTTGGTTTCAACAAAACTAATTATCATTAAATTTGGAAAAAACAAATTATGATATTTAGTAACAGGAAGACAACTGTTGATTTTTCATTTAAAGTAGATGGTATTGAGATCTGTAAAGTCAGTGAGTTGAAATTTCTGGGTTTCATCATGGATGACAAGCTGACATGGAGACCTCACATACATTATTTAAGAACCAAAATATGTAAATCTATAGGAGTACTGTATAAAGTCAGGGAGTTATTCAGTGACAAAGCTCTGCTTGTGTTGTACAATTCAATAATTGTTCCACATTAAGTTACTGTATGGGGGTAAAGCTTGCAAAACAATTAAAAATCCAATTCTTCTTCTGCTACCTTTCATTTTATTTAGATTTTTTGATTTGTGTATTTTATTAGTTTCTATTGTACAGTTATTTTTGTTTTTAATGAAATTAATAAAGTTTTTTGAATTGAATCTCTACAGAAAACAAATTTCCAAACACAGTAATGCAGTTTTAAATCCAAAAGCCTCCGGCAGCTCCATGCTGCAAACAGGAAAAACTTTTCTTACTTGTGGGAGTCGTTGGAGAAAGCGAACGCGTGAACTCCTGCAGAATGTCCCTTCAGGTCGAACGCTCGAGCGACTTCTCTGAATTCTCCTCCTTTTCCAAAGCAAACCTCCCAAACTTTCACATCAGGAGTGAAACCACAGGAAGCCACGAACCTGAACACACAGACGACACGACCTGACAAAGATACTCAAACACAAATCAGAGTGAAGAAATCTTGTAACTGATTAATTGAATATTAGATTCAGTTTTGAATTTTATACTTTCTGATCATCGCAGCTTTAAGGCCATAACAGAATAAGAGTTGGTGTGTGTGTTATCATGTGTTACTTCCTTAGCCTAAACAAAACTAAGTAAGTTCTGATGTCTGACGTAAAGCTAACACCTCCTGGGGTGTAACCAGGAAGTAAGGTACATTATAAACTCTATTCATTATTATAGTGAAAAGAAGTTGTCACAGTGTGTTAGAGTCTCTGCTTTGTTTGGGTTTTCTTGATATGAGCCCCAAGGCCTTATGCTACATTCACACCGAACGCGTTTTGAGCGGCCAAAAGGCGCAAAACGCCTCAAGTTGGACGTACTATGTTCAGACCAGAACGAGAAGCAGCAGCAGTGGCTGCAGCCGGGTGTGGGAGGAGCGTGTCGTCGGCGGGTGAATTAAAGATAAAATAAAAGAAAATGGCTTTGATTTATTTAATGAAGAGCAAGCGAACGTTGTGCACTTATTAATTAACTCACCAGATGATTTAGAGATGATTTGTTTGGTTAGTTTCGTCACTCCAGAAGCTGCCAGCTGACTGACCTTTTTTTTTTGTCCTGAGCAGCTGATCCACATCGGTGCTGATATATCCTGGCAGAAAATCCAACTGCGCACGGTCGATTTCAGCTAAAGATCTCCAGTCCGTCTGTTTTGGTTTTCAGTGGGAGACGTGTCGAGCGGCGAAAAGTTCACATTTTTGAACTCTGGCGGCGGCTACCGCAGCACCGCATGCGTGGAAAATGCTTCCGCCATCTTGCGCGCTGCCCAAAACGTACGTGACGCGACGCACGACCCCTAGAGGCGCGTCCTCCAAAGACTTTGGATGTAAACCAGCCGCTTCTGCAGCTCAAAACGCGTTCGGTGTGAACCAGTGGAGGATGCTGGTCTTTCAACAAGAGGAAGCTCAGTTTCGGCCGACATCATAAAATGTGTGGGTTATAAATTCTACCCTCCGTTCCTTTTCAACAAAAGGATCCGTGACCCTGTCACAAATCATTTGGTTTAGTTTATAGTATTTATTCATTTCATTTTTAAAAACAAAAACAATACAAATAAAATAAAATGAAAGGCAGCAGAAGAAAAATATCTTATGATATCTGCTCCTATTTACAAAAAATATTAATTTCAAACAATAAAACAAATAATAAAACAAAACTAAAAAATTCAACTCCTCAAACAGTGACTCATACAAATTAAACAATTTCATATTTCTTTAACAAATTTGCTTTGATTATTTTTTTAAAGGAATTAATTGATCCAATGCTTTTATAATCATTTTCCAGATTATTCTATAGTGTTTTACAGCAGCCAGCTCTGTTACACCAGGACAGCTGAAAACACCTGTTACTTTTTCCCACTCTTTGCACCAAATTAATCTGAGGAGATGATCAGCCCTGCTGTTTAACTCTAATGCTGCGTTCACACCGAACGTGATTTCAGCGTCAGGAGCAGCAGGTTTACATACAAAGTCTATGGTGGACGCGCTTCAAGCAGCGTCGGGAAGTGCTGCGGCGCCTCAAGTGCGATTAGAGCAGTGCGATTTGAACGATCTGAGCGTTCAACGTGCTGAGGCGCAAATCGCTGAAGTTAGAAAATCTGAACTTTTGCAGCTCGACGCGCAGCGTCAACCAATCAGAGAGACTCCACTGTGTGACGTAGTGACATATTTCCCGACGGGACAGTTTACTGAATGATGTCCACTAACCTGAAACAGACAGAGAGGAGCTCTTTAGCTGAAATCCAGTGCCTGCAGTCGTGTCCTGATCTGCAGCAATGCGTGGCAGCGACTCATCAGACTGGAAAAATAGTCCTGAAAGCGAGCTGTGAGCCTCTACTCTGAATTATCTGGTGAATTAATTATGAATTAATTATCTGATGAACGTGACATGCTCTTGCTCTCTGTAAATAAAGCAAAGCCACTTCCTCGTCCGACATTAAACAGAGCCTGACAGAGGAGGGAGGGGCGGGGAGGCTCTGCTGTGCAGCGCAGCTGTCCTGCGTCTGACCTCAAAGTGCACAAGCTTCAAACTTCAGCGTTGGCTGCGATTTTGAAGCTGAAATCGCGTTCGGTGTGAACGCACCATAAGTTTTTCTCTGTAAACAAGACTATAATGGCTTCACCAAAATCTGCTCCACCACATTCAAACTGTCTGACATTATGTGCAGCTTGTTACTGGAGCGAGGCTAGTGTGAAGTGTGTCCGTCTGTGAGTGTTGTATGACGGTGAAGAGGCTCAGCAGCAGCCGCTGGACAGAAGAAGTCAGAAAGAGTGACAGAAGTCTGTCTCCAAACATAAGCAGCTACAGAAATAACACCAGAAATAGAAGTTCGATTTGTCACTAGTAGCGGCTAAAAGGATTAATAAAGTCTCCGATTCAACTCAGAACAGAAAAGACACTAAAAACTGCTACCATGCACGTTTACACCAAAAAGATCGCCGATTCGTTAATTTCGCTGTCAATCAAAAAGGGATTCAGCCTCKGACAGATCATCCAATCATCATGCAGCCAGCATCCGACCCAGCCCCCTGCTCCATAGACCCCCAGAGACGCTCAGTGTCCGATGGGCGGGACAAAGCCAGCATTTATCCAATGACTCGTCTCGTTTAGCTGCAGTCTTTGCATCACTAATGAGCTCTGTAGACGCTCAGCGTCCGACTGTTTAAAGCTGTGAAGCTGCAGGAATGAGTGAAATGAGGGAATGAGGAACGGTGCGTCGTTACCAGTGATAAGAAGCTGATTCTGAACTAAAGTTGATCATGTTGTAGGCAGATTTAGTCAATGACATGAACACACAACAGTATATATTCTATCTTTTTTTTTTTTTTTACATTTTAGGGGAAGCTGAGCTTCCCTTGCAGTCTTAGAGAAATCGCCTCTGGTGTGAACGTAGCATTACGCTGAGGTCTTACTGAGGCCTGTGTGCTGAGTGCTGTTCTGTGAACCTGACTGGAGTCAGAAGATTGAAAATAAAGTTTTAAGAAGAAATCCAGCGGATTCCTGGTTTATTCGGACATACCATTTTGAACAGCGCATATTTTTCCAACAAGAGTATTGTTGTGTATGAATATATTTAAAAATGACAAAACGAAACCTTCAACAGAGAGAAAACAAACGTTCCAAAAGCACGATAAACTTTATTTAGCTAGAGTCTGACCTGCCACAAGAGGAGACGGCAGCATAAGAATTGGTCATCTGGTTGGTGTTGATGGAGGCCAGCAGCTCTCCTTTCAGGTCCCAGATCAGGATGGTGGTATCTGCAGAGGCGCTCATTATGAACTTACCTGCAGAGAAGAAACTAAATCAGTATTTTAAAAGCTATACAACTCTCACAAACTAACTCAAGCATAAAAATACGGATCTGATTGGATCCTGTACATTTTGAATTTTGGGTTGAGTTTCATGGTTACACCGTTGCCGCTACGTTTGCCTAAGAATGAATAAAACCGAAACAGTTAAGATGTGACCAAGGCCCGGGTGTGCTCTGTACCTGTCTCTGCAATGCCAATGTTGATGATTGAGGCCTTGTGTTTCTGTGGGAAGTCCTCGGGAGCCGCCTTGAAGCTGAAGGAGCCATCCTCCTTCTTGATCATTTTAAAGATGCGTATGGCGTCTCCGTTGGCCAGCCAGGTGATAAACGCCCTTCAGGTGAGACGCAGAGAGTCAGAGGAGGTGGTGACGAGTTTAAATTAAGCCAAATATTCAAACGTTTACTCCGGCTAGGACAAGTTATTTCTTATAGGCACAGACGGGCACCAAKTCTGTATATTTTCATTAAATTCATGTTTACTGTAGAGCAGTGATTCCCAACCAGAGGTACGTGTACCCTTTGGGGTACGCGAGCATATTACAGGGGGTGCGTGGAAAAAAATTCCCAGATATTTAAAAAATAAATAAAATAGGACTGGAATATGTTGGCCCTATGATTTCAGCAATGAACAAAATGTAGACGAAGTCAGGGAATTGACACCAAATGGAATCCAGTATAAAATGCAGAATCTCTTGGAATTTGCTCATTTTGGGGTGTTTTTGATGTATTTTGGAAAATACAGTAGATTTTGGACACTGCTGCTTCCTGCACCTGCCGTTACCTGGTTTATTTATTTAATTACTTATTCACTTTCAAGGCAACGTTTTTTTCTTTATGTTTAATTTGATTTGAAAAGAATAAAATGCCTGAGAATTAAATGTTCTAGGGGGTTAAATAAATATTTTTTATTTAACAATCAGTTGATGTATAGTTTCAGAGAATCATCATTACATTTGACAGAGGGGGTACTAGTGGTATGACAAAATGGCTCAGGGGGTACACAAGTCTAAAAAGGTTGGGAACCACTGCTGTAGAGTAGGGGTGTAAGAAAATATCGATACACTGAAATATCACAATATTTCATTTCCCGATACTGTATCAATATTCTAAAGCCCTGTATCGATTTTAAATTAAGGTTTAAAATGTCAACTTTCCTGCCAGCCGTTTATTTTTATGTTGTAGTTCAGCCTCTGACCACTAGTTGGCAGCAGTGAGCCAGCCATTTGGCTCCTCTACCTCTTGAGGTAGAGGCCATTGTTAAATGTTGGGTGACCATTTTGTAAATTAACAATAAAAACTAAAAGCTGAAAAAATATA